TCCAGGGCCTCATGCCTGCTAGTCCAGGGCCTCGAGCCTGCTAGTCCAGGGCCTCGTTCCTGCTAGTCCAGGGCCTCGAGCCTGCTAGTCCAGGGCCTCGTTCCTGCTAGTCCAGGGCCTCATTCCTGCTAGTCCAGGACCTCATTCCTGCTAGTCCAGGGCCTCATTCCTGCTAGTCCAGGGCCTCGAGCCTGCTAGTCCAGGGCCTCATTCCTGCTAGTCCAGGGCTTCGAGCCTGCTAGTTCAGGGCCTCGAGCCTGCTAGTCCAGGGCCATCTCGGGGTTCTGGAGCTCAGCACTACAGTTCTTTCCTTAGATGGACTTTGGGCCTGTCTTAATTGCTCTCTTTAAAGGTACTTGCTTTCCTCTGTTTCAGCATTGTGTCTTCATGTTGTGTTTGTATCTTGTGAGCCACCAGACTTCCCTCTTACTGGATTCCCTCTCTAAAGTTAATCATGCTTGAGTCTAGTTGAAGATCCTGTTTTCTTCAGCCACCTTAGGCGTTTGTTGCTGCCTGTAGAGTCTCGGTTGCGTTCATTTGTCAGCTAATCTAATAGAGTTTGATTGGCGTTTGTATCTGATTTCTCCAGTGGAAACATAAACTCTTTATTATTTTATTGTTACATAGTTCATGCCCTACACACATTGACAGGCGGGTAAACTAGCAAGTGAGAAAAAAGCTGATCTAATTATCAGCAGTGCATTTTTTCCTGAAAGTTGGTCAAGTGTTCACGTTACTGTTGCTTCTTTTTAGGTCATTAATGTGGATGATGACGGGAATGAGCTAGGCTCTGGCATAATGGAGCTCACAGACACAGAACTGATTCTATACACCCGTAAACGCGACTCGGTAAAATGGCACTACCTCTGCCTGCGACGATACGGCTACGACTCCAATCTCTTTTCTTTTGAAAGTGGTCGAAGGTGTCAGACTGGACAAGGTAGGGAAAGCCGTTATTTCCTGCAGTTATCAGTTATTCTGTGTGCAGCCTTTCATTTCTGAAGGAGAGACTGGGAACGGTGACACATGCTTGTGCACCTAGCACTTGGGGGACAGAAGCAGGAGGATTGCTGCAATTCTACATAGCAAACTCCAAGCCAACCAGTTTAAAAAGGAAGACCCCGTGCCAATAAATAAATAACCCACAAAACTCCCAAACAGGACTGTTTAAAAAAAAGGTAAATTGTGACCAGGCTTGGTGGTGCACATCTTTAATCTCAGCACTCAGCAGACAGAGGCAGGTGGATCTCTATGAGTTCAAGGCCAGCCTGGTTGGTCTACAGAGTGAGTGAGTTCTAGGACAGCCAGGGCTACACAGAGAAACCTTATCTTGGGGGGAAAAAAGGTAGATTAATTGTGAATTCATTTATCAAGCATGCACTAAATACTTTGCCCATGGTAGAAATAAAATGGCTAAGTATCATTTTTGGTTCTAACTTCTTGGGCAAAGAATGTAAATAATGGAGTCAGGTAGAACATGGTTATTAATTTATTAATAATAATGATGATGATAATAATAATTTTGGCTCCCTACTAGTGGAGTGGCCTTGGCAAGTTATGTGCCTTCTACTGGAATTTTGTAAAGGGGGGAATGATAGTATCTGCCTTATAGAATCGTGACAATGAACAAGGAAATAATTATACCCCCAGCCAGGCCTGTTCAGCGGTAAAGCATTGCTTTGTCACTGGTGACTGGGTTCCCCCTGCTGTTAAAGCTTCTGGAGTCTATGTGCAGATCTCCTTTGCTCTGCCCTGAAACATCCGTTCAACAAACAAAAATTATCTGGGAACTTTACAGCTCTATGCTTTGAAATAAGGCATAGTAATTTATTCATCAGAAGTTATTTCTTGCTGTTGGCACATTAGGATGCTGTCTTAGTCACTGTTCTATTGCTGTGAAGAGACACCGTGACCAAGGCAGACCTTATAAAGGAAAACATTTCGTTGTGGGCTTGCTTGCAGTTGTCCTCATGGCAGGGAGAGGGTTTTGCATGCACGGTGCTAGAGCAGTAGCTGAGAGCATTGCATCATCCCTCTTGATTTATATTTGTAGGAATCTTTGCTTTTAAGTGTGCCCGTGCAGAAGAATTATTTAACATGTTGCAAGAGATAATGCAAAATAATAGCATAAATGTGGTGGAAGAGCCAGTTGTAGAAAGGAATAGTCATCAGACAGAATTGGAAGTTCCTCGAACACCTCGGACACCCACAAGTAAGTAGCCATATTCCCTCTTATTTTGCATGTCAGACATTTATAAGATCCAGGTTATGGATATTTAATCTATATAACAGTCAGAAATGGAGATCATCAACCACAAAACCCCTGTTAGCTTTAGCTACAAACATTTTTAAAGCGAAAACATTAATTATCGCACATTACCTAAAATGTGACTTAAAGGCCAGGAGTATAGCTCAGTGTCGGAATGCCTGACTGTGTATGTGTGTGTGTGTGGGGGGGGTGTATGTGTGTGTGCAGATCCTTTATCACCAGCACTGCCAGAAAGAACAGTAGCTGATGCAGTAAGACTGGGTGAGCTGCTGTCTGTGTTCTAGTGTCTGTATGTCCTGACAGGAATGTCTCACCAGCTCGGTGCGGATTTAGATTCTCACTTATTTTTATTCTCTACCCCACTCCCATATCCTGTCTTTCTCCTCAACTCAATAAATACAACTCAGCTCCAGGGTTTGCTGCTCAGAACTTACCTAATGGATATCCCCGCTACCCTTCATTTGGAGATGCCTCCTCCCACCCCTCCAGCCGGCATCCTTCTGTGGGAAGTGCTCGCTTACCCTCAGTCGGTGAAGAGTCTACACATCCTTTGCTTGTGGCCGAGGAACAGGTAAGCAGCCACCACTGTGTGACCACAGAACCCTCTGTGGAGTGAAGTGTTGTGGGTTAATACTTGGAGCTTTTATTCAGTATAGATTACAACTTCCATTGTGAATTACTTCTGCATTGAAAATTGAAGAAGTGGCCTGTATTTGCTAGCCTGTGCTGAAGTATGTACAGATGTAGGGGAACTTAACTTTGTTTTGAGAAAGGGTCTCACTGTGGAGCCCTGGCTTGCCTGGAACTCACTGTGTGGACCAGGCTGGCCTTGGACTCCCAGAGAGATCTTCCTGCTTCTGCCTCCTGAGTGCTGGGATTGAAGAAACTTCCGAGTAGTTTATGTGTCCATAGAGAGGTCCATCTGTCGATGAAGAAAGACAGACTCAGTCGGTTCTCGGTGGGTTAAGAGTTGATGCTGCTGCTTTTGATGTTTTCGTCTTTGTTATCAGTGAACTACAGATAGAAGGGTAGGTTGTGCTGTTGAAGTTGCTTGGAGCCATTTAGTGTTCCTCACTAGGTGGAACCAAGTATTGGAACAGTTTTATATTATCAGATAAGTTTATCTTTGTAAGTTATATGATCATTTGTCAGTAAGGGATTTTTAGTGTTTTTAAAGTAATTTCGTGTTGTTTATGTAGTAAAAATTTTATATTATTTACTGTGATTACATTTTCCTCAGTTTTGCATTTCATTTTGAATCCTAGAATTTTTAGGTTTAGTCTTCCAGATCTCTTTAGATTGTCTTTCTAAATTACCACTGAGCTTTCCTAAGTGGTAGTGGTGTCTTCCTGGGTGGCATACACACACACACACACACACACACACACACACACACACATTGGTTTTTCAAGACAGGGTTTCTCTGTGTAGCTTTGTGCCTTTCCTGGATCTCGCTCTGTAGACCAGGCTGGCCTCGAACTCACAGAGATCCGCCTGGCTCTGCCTCCTGAGTGCTGGGATTAAAGGCGTGCGCCACCACTACCCAGCTCTTAGCAAGGTTTTCTAAACCAGCTGCAAAATGATAATCCTGTTTCATTCTGTTGTTCTCCTTCCATTCCTTTCCTCCGTTCTTCCCTCCCTCCCTCCCTCCCTCCCTCCCTCTCTCCCTTCCTTCCTTCCTTCCTTCCTTCCTTCCTTCCCTTCCCTTCCCTTCCTTTCCTTCCTTCCCCCTTTTTTGAAATAGGGTCTTGTTATGTAGCCTACGATAGCCTCAAACTAGCTATCTTCCTGCCTCTTCCTCCAGAATACCAAAATTATAGGTATATGTCACCATGATCAATACAATACTGTATAAATATAATGCTGTGTGTTATTTTAGAGTAGTTATTCCTTTTTTACAAATTAAAGGATTTCTGCATTCTTTGTTCTCCTCCAATCTTTCTATTGGGTGAAGGAATAGGTGCAGACGTCTTAAGGTAACAGTGTATTTAAAGGGGAAGTAGTAATAACCTTCCCTTAAGTAAGCCAGGAATGGTGGCACAACCGTTTGGGAGGGAGGCAGTCGGCTCTAGTTTGATGCTGACCGGGGCCGCACAGTGAGACCCTGTCAGTAAACAGATAGAATGAATTGACATGACCACGATCTTTTTAAAAAATTGATGTGTGTATGTCTGCAGCCCATGTGTGAGTGCCTGCAGGGGCCAAAGGGAGGCGCTGGCGTTACAGACAGTTGTGAGCTGTCACGTGGGTGCTAGGAATGGGTCCTCTAGCAGATGAGCTCTTAACCACTGAGCCATCTTTCTAGCTCCTTCATCATTCAAACTGTTTTTGCTCTGTGCTTTACATTTGACTGATTTGCTTTGTTTTCTTTTTAGGTACATACTTATGTTAACACTACAGGTGTGCAAGAAGAGCGAAAAAACCGTGCAAGCGTGCATGTGCCTCCGGAGGCAAGAGTTTCTAGTGCGGAAAGCAACACACCAAAAGAAGAACCGAGTAACACTGAAGACAGGGACCCTCAGGTTCTTCTTAAGCCCGAAGGAGTGAAGTTTGTGTTAGGCCCAACCCCTGTTCAGAAGCAGTTAATGGAAAAGGAGAAGCTGGAGCAGCTGGGGAGAGACCAAGTTAGTGGAGGAGGTGCCAACAGCGCCGCCGAGTGGGACACTGGCTATGACAGCGACGAACGGAAAGACACTCCCTCCGCTAACAAACTGGTGTACGAAAATATAAACGGGCTGTCTATCCCCAGTGCCTCCGGGGTCCGGAGAGGTCGTCTGACATCGGCCAGTGCCTCCGATACTCAGAACATCAACAACTCCGCTCAGAGGAGGACAGCGTTGTTGAACTATGAGAACCTGCCGTCTCTGCCTCCTGTTTGGGAAGCCCGCAAGCTAAGCAGGGATGAAGACGACAATTTAGGACCAAAGACGCCATCTCTAAATGGCTACCATAATAATCTGGACCCAATGCATAACTATGTTAACACAGAGAATGTAACTGTACCGGCAAGTGCTCACAAACTAGACTATTCGAGGCGTCGGGACTGCACCCCGACAGTCTTTAACTTTGACGTCAGGCGCCCCAGCTTAGAGCACAGGCAGCTCAATTACATCCAGGTGGATTTGGAAGGCGGCAGTGACTCCGACAACCCTCAGACTCCAAAGACTCCTACCACTCCCCTTCCCCAGACCCCCACCAGACGCACGGAGCTGTACGCCGTGATAGACATCGAGAGGACTGCTGCTATGTCCAACTTGCAGAAAGCACTACCACGAGACGACGGGACGTCTAGGAAAACGAGACATAACAGTACTGACCTGCCCATGTGAGCCTGGAGAGCATTACGTCTTTTGCACCGTCGTGACGTTTTTAAAATGAAGATGCGATGCTTCACTGTCATTTCTACACTAACTCCTTTATAGACTGATCCGTTGTTTTCTGAATAGTTCATGTGCATCTTTAAAGGGAATTAATGTAGAGCAGGTACTCCTTGCAGAACACTAGTTTCATTATATTCTACTCATTATTGTACAGCAGCATTCCCATTTTCACAGTGCCTATTTAAAATGAGATTTGAAGTGAATGACATGCTGGTTGATTTTATTCCATATTCAGGACATATGCATATCTTTCACGTCTAAGTTGTGTTGGCATTTCAACCTTTCATAAAGTCTCTTGATAATGTGCATTGCTGACATAACTCTAGGCTTTGAAGGTAGGACTCACTGCTCACAGTGTATGGTCTCCAGCATGGAACATGAGGAATCTTATTTCAGTAATTAAAGGCTTTTTGACTTGGGCCAAAAAAAAAAAAAAGAAAGAAAGAAAGAAACAAAAGAGCCACACCTCCTTTTGTACCAGTCAGCTCCTCTGTCTTCAGTGTTACTAGAAAGAGTCCAGTATCATGAATATAGTTATGTATTGGGAGGCAGGCAGGAGACAACGTTTTGTTTACTCATCTCATGGTGTCATTTGAAGGGCATGTCCAGATATCTTACTCAGAATGATGGTGGCTTTAGGAAATCAGTCTCAGGTCACTTTACCCAGAAACATTTGAAAAATCTACACCATGATCTGTTGGCGTTTCTCTTCGATAGGTTATTGGCAGCACATTGTTTTCTGGAGACATTTGTGCCATGAAATTCCCATTTAGCTTCAGGTTTTTTGTTTTGTTTTCCCCTTTGGTGTTTGGGTTGTCTTTGTTTTGTAACGTCTTTCTCAATTTCCAATACAATGTTTGCGTTTGTATATCATTTTGGAATGGGATTGTGTGTCTGTTGTTACTTAGTCTGCATTTTTGTCAAGTTAGGGTCTTGAAGGTCCACTTGGAGCCGACTGTTATTTTCTAACAGGGTTGCTCTTGTCCAGTATTTATTTATCTGCTGTTTACTTGTCAGGTTGATGAAAAACCATCGTCTCGATCTTAAATGTCATTTGTGTGCTCTCTTTAGTCGCTGAGAAGAAAAGGAAGATACTCTGAGGCATGTGAGTCCCCCAAAGGTGGCATCCTCCCCGTGGGGGCATTCCCCAGCACTTTAATAGGGATTGCCTCAGCGGCATGGCTACAGTCCTGCTCTGCCCGCTCTGCTGTGCCGGGCTCTGCTGGCCTTTCCGGGGAGCTAGGCTGGCTCTCAGGGAGCTAGGCTGGCTCTCGGGGAGCCCCTGATGTGGGCGAGCTGTTGATATTGTTGTCAGCATAGCAGGCACGGGGAAGGCTGGATGCAGTGTGATTATGTTGCAATTGAGGATCTGAAATGAACTGAAGTGGATAGAAACTGACGTCGACCTCTTGAAAATCAAGAATGCTCCAAATTCCCAACCCACTGTAGAATAAAGAGAAGGGCGGAAGGACAGGCAGCCTTACAAAATATTTTCCTTTTTTCTCTAACATTGAGGAAGTTTTATATCGTGATCCGGATACACCAGGTGTGACTAAGATTGATTTAACAAGAAAGGGCTCCAGTCATAGAACATTCGGTATATTCGGGAACTCATCACACTACAGTGAATAGGTTAGCAGTGGAGTGGGGCCGTTATGAAAATAAAATAAACATGTTGTCTTCATCGTTTTTAGTGCCATTGGTTTATAGCAGAATTTTCTTCTTCCTTCTTTTTTCCTCTGTACACTTGGTGCTTACTGAAATGTTCACTGTTCTCTCTAAGAGAGCAATGGCTGGATGTGCAGAGTTCATGTCTAATGTGCTGTTCCGTTTATTCTTTCTTCTGAGTAGATTGCTAACTGTGCCAAATGCCAGTGGGGGTTTTTGAGTGTGGGTAAGAACTGACGGCTACAGCGCACACGGTTTCCTCTGTGCCAGCGTCAGGATAGCCCGGCTCTCCAGGGAGAAAGGGCCGGTCTGTTTGGTCTTGCTGGAGGCGGCGAGGTTTCTTCTCTCTTTTCTTTGTTCTCTCTGCGTTTCCCTTCAGATCGGAATTCGATTTTACACTTGTCTGGTGACTCTCCTATAATCACCACAGTTTATGCTTTAAAAAGTATATGGTTAAGAATAAAAATGGGACCAATTTGTCTGCTAAACATTTGATTTTAGGGTACTATGTGAATATTGACTAGGAAGAGTTAAACAGGTGGTGTTAATTTCTAGATGTCTTCTGGAAATTACCTTTGTTTCTATTTAAGCAGTCATTGAGAATACCACTGTCCTTTACAGTAGTCTCATAATGGGCATTAAGCTCTGTCCTGGAAGAATGTACCTATTACTATTTGAATTTTAAAGTGAGACATTTTACTGGCACATATTTGTGGCCATATGTCTCAGATTTTCTGAGACAAACCTAATTTTAGAAAATTGGTTTTGTTGATTAGACCATGAGATCCTACTTTTTGGTTTTAGAAATAGAATCCTCGCTCCCTTGTTTTTCCCGGAGAAAATCCGTTTTTATTCATATAGATCAGACAACATTTTTTCCCAGACCAGGGGTGGAAAGTGATAGGGATCGGATTGCTAGTGTTTTTCTGAATGTCTTACTTCTCAGTTTCATCTTCCTTTGAAAAATGAAAATATGGTGCCTTCCTCCCCCCCCCCTCAAGGAGATTGGCAAATAGTTCCTTGTATTTCCTGCTGCTGTGGAGTGATGAGACATGCACTTTACTCTTAAAGACTCAGCAAAAAGTTTTCACTTCTCAGTAGATCCAGAATAAATCCTGGTTGGGACTTAAACTTTGCCAAGCAATCTTCGTCATGACAGTCATTAATGTTGACCCCTACCATGTTGTAAGTCAGACTGGTGTGCGTTTATTCTCCCCACTGCTCCCACCTCCCATCTGTGGCACAGCATATAAAAATGTACCTCAATAGTGTTCTATTAAAAATGGGACAGGGGCCTTACGTTCTCATGATTCTCCAACAATGTGCCACCACGTATTTGCCTCAAGGTAAAGGTTTTAACAAGCTAAAAAGTACTTCCCATTTCCCTGTGCTCTTTTCTACCCATAATGCCCAAGTGTTTTGTGCAATGTGTAGTGTGTATGTATAAATATATATATATATATATTCTTGAAATAGACATAACATCAGAGACATCATTCAGAAGTAATGTATTGGCATCTCATTCATATTTCTGATGTGAACTATATGGTACTATTTACTTTTTCCTTAATGTTTGCCAAATTTGAATCAAGGCATTGGTACGAAATTACAGAATGTATAGGAAGCATTTTGGCTTGAAAAGTTAACAAATGAAAGTATTCAGACCTATCACAATGTACTCTGCCCAGACCAGCACCCTGTCTTCTTGCTGCCTGTTCCCCATTCCTGCTTCCTCATCTTTCAGGGTGTAACTGTTCTTTTCTAGCATCCTGTAGTTGAATTTCTCTGGCAGTTGGACAAGACAGCATGGAAACAGGCTGGGATCAATAGTACGGTAGTCACCAGGGTGCCACATTTGCATTGGTGAATGCAAATAGATGTTTTATAAAAGATAAATGTTGTGTTATGTTTCTATTTTCATTACATTGTATAATAATGTAAGATTATTGTATGTCCTAATTTGCATTATAAATGTTTTTTTCCTACATAAAGGCATAAATATAGCAACTTTGTATAAAGGTAGCTTATTAGATTTTAATTTTTCTTCTATAAAAGTTGTCTACAGTGGGACTACCATTGCCAAATTGTATATGAGATATGAATTTTACCCCTATGGTTAATTTCTTTTCTAAACATTCCATATTTCTCTAATGAAAGATGTGATTCTGTACTATGCATAAATTGTGTTTTAATGCTGTTTCATATCAGCATTTTAATTTTGGGTTTGCATTTTTAGTATTGGCAAAACCTAACCACTGTTAATTAGAACAAAACCTTGTTGTATATGTAACAGCATCATTTGCCTCCCCCCTCTTGCCCTCTGTTCTTTACCCCCTGTCAGTGCCAACTTCATACATTTTGTAGCATGGCAATAAAATGTAACTTTTACACTGAGGCCGAGTGTGGCTTTTTGGAGGCAGTCGAGTGGGAGGATGGCCACCCAGTTGTCCTGGGATGTGACTCCTTTGCCATGTAAGCCGTGTTGTTGGGCATAAGAAGTTATATCTGGTGTAAACATGCTTTTAAGGACAAGTGTGGATGTGCTTTAGAGCTGTGTTTTCAATGTAACAAGTCATAAATAACTAATTTTTAATGTTTGCAAAAGTCGGAGTTCTTGAAGTACAATCAAATCTTTATTAACTGGAGTACTTAAAGAATAAGCTAATAATGGAATTTTGTTAAACAAGGGCTAAGCAACACTTTTTAAAAATTCTTATTTATTGTGGAGTATTAGTATACTTTACTATCCTAAAATTATAATGTGTAAAATATGGTTTTATCTTAGACAATGTAGCATCTTGCAATGCCTTACTGTTATCATTCTGGCATAAATATCCATGATGAGGTACTCAAGTTGATACTGGAAGCTGAGCTGACTATACACTGACCTTAAGCATTCATGAAAAACTGCTTTGTTGAATAAAATCTGATGAGTTCTTATGGTCATTTTTCCCTTATTGCCAAAAGTAGATTGCAATAAAACCCAAATAAAAGCTTGGTTGGATACTTTTAAAGTTTTATTGTATTTATATTCCATATATTACTTGACACTTTATGATAAAGGTTACATTTTTTTAAAAAAAGATTTTATTGTTAATCATTCTTAAGTTGGGGTGTTCTTTGTTTTTGTTCTTTTTGGGGGGGCCTGCCACCCAGCTTCCAAATAAATCACACACAGAGGCTTATTCATAATTGTAAATGCCTGGCCTTAACTTAGCTTGTTTCTTGCCAGCATTTTTTTTTTTTTTTTTGGTTTTTTTTGAGACAGGGTTTCTCTGTAGCTTTGGAGCTCGTCCTGGACTAGTTCTGTAGACCAGGCTAGCCTCAAACTCACAGAGATCCACCTGCCTCTGCCTCCCGAGTGCTGGGTTTACTGGCGTGCACCACCACCACCGCCCAGCAAGCATTTCTTAACTTAAACTTAACCCATCTGTCTTTTGCCTCTGGGCTTTTCCTGTTCTCTTACTTCTGTAAATCTTAATCTTATTCCATGGCTTGCTGTGTAGCTGTGTGACTGACTCCTGATGTCCTTCTTCTCCAGCTACTTCTTTTTCCTCTCCTTGATCTTTCCTTCTATGTATTCTCTGTTCCTGCCAACCCCGCCTAGCCTTTCTCCTGCCTCGCTATTGGCCGTTCAGCTCTTTATTAGACCATCAGGTGTTCTAGACAGGCACAGTAACACAGCTTCACAGAGTTCAACAGATGCAGCACAAACAGAAGTGACACACGTTACAATAATACTCTACAGCATTGGGGAGTGGTGGTGTGCGTGTGAATGCAGTGCCCTTGTAGGCCAGAAGAGGAGGTTGATTCCCAACAGGTAGGGTTAGCCATCTGACTGTCGTTGGTGAAGAACAAACCAGAGACCTCTGCAAGACCAGTGTGTGCTCTTGACTATGGAGCCGTATCTCCAGCCAGATTTGTTTTCAAAGTGAACCTATATGGGCTGATTTGGCAGACTTTCTCACTATCCAATGTGTGTGGTCATTCCAATTTGTCTTTCTCAGTTCTAGGAGCCCAGACCTGATTTTAGCCACTGAATGAGATTGCCAGGCCTTGTCCAGTAAGCAGTGTAGGGGGTAGACAGACCCACAGATCATGGGGTATGTACACAAGGGGGTAGACAGACCCACAGATCATGGGGTATGTACACAAGGGGGTAGACAGAC